ACTGTTGCTACGACGAGCTGGGCAGTCACGGAGAGAGTGTTGGTTAACGATGGTATGGCAAAGGCTTTGGATATTAAGCAGGTGGTTGGAACAATTGCGCATACTGCGCTCAATTTACCAAGAAGTATACAAGCCATCTGTACAGTACAGTTTTGGGCTTGGATCGGTACGTTTCTTTTTTTTTTTCTTTCTTTCCTGGGGAGTTTCCAATTCGGTGGAGTAATGACACAAACTAACAAATTTTGAACAGGCTGGTTTCCTTTTCTCTTCTATAGCACCACATGGGTCGGCGAAGTCTACCTACGGTACGATGCACCGCCAGAAATCAAGGCAGCCGGCGACATGACAGGCAAAGTCGGGAGAATCGGCTCGACGGCTCTTGTTTCCTTCTCAATCGTGACATTCATAACGTCCGTCCTGCTGCCCTTCTTCGTCGAGAATCCCGAGCATAGCGAAAAAGGCCCCGGCTTCTCACCCTCGTCCAACCGCAAGTTTGACGCGGGACCGTGGGAAAAACGCAAGCCAAGTCTGCTTACGGCATGGGTCGTTGCACATTGTATCTTTGCGTGCAGTATGAGTATGGCGCCTTTTGTGACTTCGATAAAACACGCGACTATCATCATTACTCTCTGTGGCGTGTAAGCACATCCTTTCCTGGATTTTCTCTGTAATGAATTATGAGCTGACGTTGCATAAAATGATTAAAGGTCATGGGCAGTTGCTTCATGGGCCCCATGGGCATTGATCGGCGTAGAAATCAACCGCCTAAACATGGCGACGGCGCACTCGACACACTCGAAGCGGGTCTCGATTGACCTCTCCGAGGCGCAGGATAAGCTGGAAAAGGCGGACGGAGCAAGTGCTGGATCGGGTAGAGGAGGTGCAAGCTCAGGGCAGTATCTGGGCATCATGAACCTGTACACGACGCTCCCGCAATTCATGGGCACCGCCATTTCTTGGGTCGTCTTCTCCATCCTAGAACCGGGCAAGAGTCCCGAGCTGAGCGAGGCGCCGCCAGAGGAGCACCACAGCACGGATGGCCCCAATGGCATTGCTGTCTGTTTGTTCATTGGAGCGTGTTCGGCATGTCTCGCGGTAGTGGCTACTTTGAGATTGGGCAGGATCCAGGGAAAGATGTAGAAGAGAGAGAGAGAGAGAGAGCCATCCATGCGTGGCATAATACGGCTCGAACATGAAGACACAACTTTTTTTTCTCTTTGCCGCCTCGTGTGCAAGCATCAAGGTTCGCAACTGTACACTATATTCATACATATCCGAACTACGTCCGTTCCTCCAACCCCAGCAACGCAATCAGCGATGAAGGCAAAATGCGAGCTGACGCGCTAGGCGGGATCGGGGCACAGGAGAGATTTTGCTCTAAGATTTTCTAGTGGCCCGCTTTGTTCTAGAAGACAGGTGTGGCTCTATCGGTGGTACACTTCCGGGCTTCGGGAGGATAGAAGGTGTAGTAATCGTCGGCACATACGTGGATGCAACGATGTGTATCGATGGAGAAGGGTGACACGGTCATGATGATGATGATGATGATGAGGGTCCCTGCTCTGACGAACAGTGCAACGTGGATGAATCAGGTCGGGCAGCTGGCGAGTGTTTTCGTTGAGGGCAAAGGGCCTTTTTTCCTAATCTCTATCTGGGTGGGTGGAGATGGGGGGGGCGCATGGCATAGTGTGCCGTCTCCAGGTTGCTCGACTACTGCTACATACAGCATGCGGTCGCAGCATGGGCAGCGGCGGCGGCCAAGGTCGGCCACGCATGGATGCAGCAGCGCGGTGACGGTGCGGGAGCGGGTTGCAGGCAGACTGAGGCCGTCTGTGGCCAGAGGGCAGAGGGCCTTGAGTCGTCCGTTGCGCGTGCCACGCCACGCCGGGCCTGGGAAAAGACGGTCAGAGTACAAAACCATCGGGGGCCCGGCTGGCCTGCGCGCCACAAGCCTTCTTTCTTTCCAGTTCCCAGCGGCCGCGGTGAAGAAGCCAGCTTGACTGTTGCTGTTGCTCGTCGTTGCAGACTCTTGCACGCCTCGTCCACGCCTGCACCCCCGGCTCGCCCTCGATCCCTTGTATTTTCACACTAGGCGCAACTAGGCCCGTCCCTAGAAAACAACCCTTGCCTCGACTCAACCGCCGAAACATTTCCCTCTCTCCCCAACCACTTCGCTTCGCCACTCTTGCATCCACACCCACTCATTCGCCAAGATGTCTGAGCCGATCCGCAATAAGAAGATGGATGCCATTACTGCTCCGTAAGTAGTTTTTGCCTCGATTTTTTTCTGCCCGTGTCCCCCGACTTTCGTCTCCTCCTCCTCCACTATCCCTCCGTCACAAACTCCAACCAGCCCCTCGCCTCGTTTCCCCCCTCCAATCCCCCTCCATACATCCTCCAACATGGACGTCCCTCAGTCTAACGTCCGCCCGACCAGCACCCCCCAAAACACGCCTGCAAATGCCGCCCCGATATCGTCGCGCGCCCAGCAGCCTGGTGTTGGCACCATCAAAGAAGGTACGTCGCGAGCAGGAAAAAATCCTTGTTGTTGTTGTTGCTGCTGCCCCTCCAACCCCGCCCTGCCCTCCCTGTTTGTCCCACGCCCTGACCGCCAATCTGACTTTTTTTTCTTGTTTCGCAGAGGACATGGAGCGCACCGCTGCTGGACTTTTTGCTGCCAACCCTGCCCTCGTCGCCATGATGCAGAACAAGCTCGGCTCGCTCGTCGGCCGCTCCAGCGGCTACATTGAGTCGCTTCCCGCCTCGGTTCGCCGCCGAGTGGCCGGCCTCAAGGGTGTCCAGAAGGAGCACTCGAAGCTCGAGGCTGAGTTCCAGGAAGAGGTGCTCCAGCTCGAGAAGAAGTACTTTGCCAAGTTCACACCCCTGTACCAGACGCGCCAGAAGATTGTCAACGGCGCCGAGGAGCCCTCAGAAGAGCACGTCAAGATTGGCGAGCAGCAGCAAGAGGACGACGAGGATGAGGACCAGCCCGAGGCTGAGCTCAACAAGGACGAGGGCAAGGACGTCAAGGGTATTCCCGAGTTCTGGCTGAGCGCCATGAAGAACCAGATCTCGCTCGCCGAGATGATCACAGACCGCGACGAGGCTGCTCTCAAGCACCTCACAGACATTCGCATGGAGTACCTCGACCGCCCCGGTTTCCGCCTCATCTTCGAGTTTGAGGACAATGACTTCTTCACCAACAAGACCATTACCAAGACCTACTACTACCAGGAGGAGAATGGCTACGGTGGTGACTTCATCTACGACCACGCCGAGGGCGACAAGATTGAGTGGAAGGCTGGCAAGGACCTAACTGTCCGCGTCGAGAGCAAGAAGCAGAGGAACAAGAGTGAGTCTTTTTTTTTGATGATTTTCTTTTTCTTCGCATGACAAGACACTAACATGATTCTTTGCAGACACCAAGCAGACGCGCGTCGTTAAGAAGACTGTGCCTACGGAGTCATTCTTCAACTTCTTTGACCCACCCAAGCCCCCACAAGACGATGACGACGCCACCTCCGACATTGAGGAGCGTCTCGAGCTCGACTACCAGCTTGGTGAGGACATCAAAGAGAAGCTCATTCCCCGCGCCATTGACTGGTTCACCGGCGAGGCTCTTCAGTACGAGAACATTGAAGACTTTGACGAGGGCGAGTTTGAAGACGAGGACGACGAGGACGAGGATGAACTCAGCGATGACCGCGAAGAGGAAGAGGAGTCTGACGACGAGGTAGGCATTGACAGTGATTCGATACATCAGAACACTACTAACATAGTTGCAGAACGATGGCACAAAACCCAAGCAGGAGGCTGCCGAGTGCAAGCAGAGCTAAATGCATCAGCCTGCACCACATCTCACATTACCAAGAGCGTAATCTTCCGAGTCGTTCAGGGCGGAATGTTCATCTTGGACTGCTACAGCATGTGTCCATGGCGATCTCGGCTTGCCACGACGTTTTCCACGAATCTTTATATCCAACACCACTTTTCCATGACTTCTTACCTGGCGTAATACTTGCATCAAGAGAGCGCAGGGGCAATGGTTGATTGGGGTTGTTACGAACTAGCCATGTCACCAAGTATTCTAGACCTCCCACCCTTTCTACACACATCCCCTTCTATCAGGTTCACGGCCCACAACCAACGATCGCTTAGCATAAACGGCGTTGTCTAGGTGGGGTTTTTGCTGCATGTATTTTCCTTGGGATTGCAAAGGGGCTTGATGTTTTACGATGGCAGTAGAATGGCGTAATCAGGCTGAAGTGTGTGTCATGAGTAAATGAAAAGAAAAAGTTTGAAGCCCCATGGTTGGACCGTGTGATTATGTGCGTGGGGGATGTTCATTGTGACGTATCAAAGTGAATAGGACCGTAATTGTGAACGGCGCGAGCGGGCGTCGATTTGAACGACAAGTTATCCGAGTTGTGTAAAAAAAAAAGCACAGTGACTTTTGACAACCACCCTGCATGCTTGATTTTTTTTCTGTTGTACCACTAATTGCAAGCGGTGCTGGGAACTGGCTGCATATTTCTTGCTCATTCTTTTGGGACCGTTAGTATGTGTGCGGATTGAATACGTAGCGCGGGGTAAGTTAGCGGCGCAGTGGGGGGCTTTGCTCAGCAACCGGGTGAAGTTCGGGAAATGGAGGGGGTGGAAAGTTCTTGGGAAAAATAATTCTGAGAACGGCCCATGGTTATACATTGATTTTACATACCCAACTTTTTTTGAACGCGACCACCACACACACGCATATACTGAGCTCTTGATTCCTCTCGATTGTTCGCCTACGGAATACCATTGGCGACAAAAAAATAACAACAGAAGAGAGAGAAGAAGAAGAAGAATTCGAGAGTCACCCCGGTCTTCGCTCCAGAGGCGCATACAGTAGTAGTAGAGAGAGAGAGAACAAATTCTGTGTGTCTACAGTCTTGAACTCACAAAAACGCCGAACCAGAAGAAAATAAAACGAAACGAAACGAAGGAAGAAAGGAACAACAATGGGGCGCACAAACCCCAACATTGTAATAACGGGTACACCAGGCGTAGGCAAGACGACGCACGCAGAGCAACTAGCGCAGGCAACGGGGTTGAAGCACCTGTCCGTGAATCAGATTGTCAAGGACGAGGGGTTCCACGAGGGCAAAGATGAGGAGACGGGAAGTTGGATTGTAGATGAAGACAAGGTAAGCCATTTTTTTCTTAATTTCCTCCTTACCCCATTTCCCCCCTTTTACTTTCAAACCACCTTCAGCAACACCTCTTTTTTTTTTGCTTTTCCAGCAAAAGATTTATTTTCTTTCCTTTGCAAACGAGGGACGAACCGTTCCTAACGCGTGACTACTGCAGCTCCTCGACTACCTCGAATCGCTGCCCCTGCACTCGACCGGCGGCTACATCCTCGACTGGCACGCCTGCGACCTCTTCCCCGAGCGCTGGATCGATCTTGTCGTCGTGCTGCGGTGCGACTCGTCCATCCTGTACGACCGCCTCACTGCGCGCGGCTACACGGGCAAGAAGCTCGAGGAGAATATGGATAGTGAGATTATGCAGGTTTTGCTCGAGGAGGCCCGCGACGCGTATAGAGAGGAGATTGTGGTCGAGTTGAGGAGTGAGAGTGCCAAGGATGTAGAGGCGAATTTGGAGAGGTGTGAGGGGTGGGTGGAGCAGTGGAGGAGGGATAATGTGGGGAAGGAGGAGGCGGAGGAGAAGGAGTAGGAGGAGAGAGGGAGTGAAAAAAAATGATGGGGGGAAGGTTGTACGATACCATTGTAACGATTATGAGATTCTTGTTGTTTTCTGTTTTATCTCTCTCTCTTTTCTTGGGAGTCATTGCCGGACTTAGATGATGCTGCTGCCTTTCCTGCTAGTTGGTGTACATATAGCTCAAGATGACTCCGTCTTACTCGCCAGCCACTCCTTCAGCTTCTCCAGCGCCTTGCCCCGATGGCTAATCTTATTCTTCTCACTCTTATCCATTTCTGCATATGTCTTGCCTTCGTACTCGAAGCATGAGTCCCAACCTATATATATACATAAAAATCATTTTATTAGCAACCCGTTGGAAAGATTGAAGGGAGAAAATGAAAAAAACATACCAAAAACAGTAGACCCCCGACTCTCCACCAACTTTCCGTCCGTCCTTCCTTGAAACAAAATTGCTTCGTGGCCTGGTCCCTCACAGTACCCAAATGTGCAGACTGCCTGGGCGGATTTGTCGTCGAAGCCTGCGAGGAGTTTGTGTAGGTTTAGGGGGCCGAGGGAGAGCATGAACCATTTGCTACGATAGCAAGGTAAGAAAGGGTGGGGGTTGAAGAATGGGAGAAAAACGTACATGTATGGGCCAGGAAGGTCGTTCATGGCGGGGAAGCAGAGGCAGGTGTCTTCGACTAGGACGGGACCTTTTACCTGTAACAGATGGTCAGTATTAGGTGGAGTGAGGTGTGCGTATGCACATTCGCTTTGCCATGGATGTTGAGGTCAAGTTCGATGCAATCATTGAAGAACTTACTGCTTCAGCGGCTCGTCGCGCCTTATCCCTAGTTACTTCTTCGACTGTGCCTTGGATCTCGACTAGATCGACATTTTGGTTTCGCAGCTCAATAACACCCGAGAGAATGGCCTGGACTTCGGCGAGTTTGTTTTTGTTGCCGGTTATGAAGTTGAGATGTTTGGGGACTGAGGTGGAGGCCATCTTGGATTTTTTTTTGATCTGTCAATAGGCGATTGCGTTTATCTTGTATGTTGGTAAATTTATGATAACTACGCTTCTCAATTTTGCTTTGCTGAAAGTTAACAATCAAGCATCGAAATTGCAATGATGTGTTTTGATATACCTTCTTTCCCAACTCTTATTCCGCTGATTGTTAATCAGCGTCTTGAAAATTTCGAAATGACTACAATAGCGGAATTAGCAGACGTGCAGATGCAAAGGGCGCAGTTGGCGTCAAGCCCACGAAGCGGTAACATTAGCCTATCTTCTGTAAAGGGCGTAATCCACCAACACTGCCACTTTGAAATTTTTTTAGCGTCACGGAGGTACGTACAATCTAAGAGATGCGTTCCTCACACGATGTTCTGATTACAGAGTCAGTCTTGCAGATATGTTGATAAGACCGAGGGGTTCTATGATTAGCTTTCTCACTTGTACTAGTAAGCGAGCTGAACAGGGATCCTGTGCCTCAAATGTAACCGTGGCCGACAAACCATTACCCTCAGCCGCATCAATCACACCCTGCTATGTACCTGCATAAACACCTGGTGTCCTCGAAATTACCCATTTCTAGCTTAGAAAGACGTGTATAATCGCCGAAGCGAAAGGAGCCTCATGGCTTGAGGCTGAGCTTTTCACCGTCATTCCGTTTTACCAGCGACAATCACAACACCCACAACAGCTGATCCTCATCGCGGCGCATAGCGGAGCTGGGCATTTTCCGTTTCCTGGATCTCTTCACCGAAAATTACACTGTACACTGCCGCTTCGTCACCGCCAGAATGGGTTCTCTCAAGACGTTGTTCCTGGCGGTGCATGCCTCCAACGGCATAATAAGAGCACTGTTTTTGCCAGCATGCTATGTCACGCTCTTCAGTCCGATCGCACTGGCTATTGCATGGTACTTTGACTTTTTACAGACACTTGAGAATCTCATTCCTGAAGACTTTTCCTGGTTCGATCTTCTACCTCAATTCGCTATCTCGGCAGTCCTTTTCCTTTTGCCTACCAGATTCTTTTCGGCCTCGGGTAAAGAAGTTAAGACTAAAGATGGGAAGAGACGGGTACAATCGCTGCCATACTGGATCCCAGGGTTCAGACACCTTTGGAGTATCGCGCTCAGTGGCGAGGAGTGGTTAAAGAGTGTGAGGTAAGCGCGAATGTTTCTTTTACTATAACATATGTACTTAACCATTTGCAGAGAATCATCCACCGCAAATATAATTGCGTACAAGGCAGCAGGAACCCAACATAATGTCCTGCTTTCAGAAACCCTTCTCGCTCAGATCTACAAAAATTGGCAAAACCTGGAAACCTCGGACAACAACCTAACTGCCATTCTTCGCAACGCATTCAAGCTGCCTTCAGCAGCGGAAAGCCATTATCTTGAGATATTGCCGGAAATCAATCAAGTTGTCGAAACAGAACTGTATGGAGGACCGACCAAGGAGAGCCTTATCAAAACATCACTGAGTCTCTTGTCGGAATCCCTTCCAGACCTTGTCACTTTCAATTCAAGCATTGTCGACCAGATGCAATGGGAACGCGTCTCAAACATGGAACTCACGGATGGTACATCGGAAGTCGAGTGCAATTTGTTCACACTTGTTAATGAGTTTTGCTGCAACGCCATTCTACCGCCGATTGTTGGAACTCATTTCACTGAATCCTATCAACTACTTCCTACGGACTTGGCTGCTCTCAATGAACGCTTCTGGGCACTCGCTCTTGGTTTACCTCGATTCTCGCCTATTCAAGGTCTACCAGGATCAACTTTGGCCCAAAAGAGGTTGATACAGAATTTTGCAAATCACTTTGGGGACCTAACCAACCCACCAGTAAAGCGGGTGCCGGCTGATGACGAGAGTGTGAGCGGCGAGGAAGATACCGATGCTGATACAGTAACACCTCTAATGAAACTCAATGAAGTATTCTCCAAGCATGATCTTCCAATGCAACTCAGAGCCTCGATCGCTCTCCACATTGTACACGATATAGTCTCAGAAGTTGTATCGCTTGTTTTCTGGACGCTACTACATGTTTACTCATCGTCGAAAGTGCAAGAGCCAAAGACTTTGGAAAGCCTGCCCCTCGAGAGAATCAAGAAAGAGACTAGGACCTGGGCTCAGGCTTTCCAACCGCCATCAATACATCCCGCATTCCCGGCACCACCAGAGATACGCTTTGGATCAGCCACTCAAGTTCTCACTACGACCTTTTCACCCTATCTTCGCTCGTGCATCAACGAGGCTCGCCGTCTATACAGCTGCTCTGTCAGTGCGTACAAGATCAAAAAGTCCATCACGCTGAAAGAAGAGGATGCTGTACGGACAGGTAAAGAAGAGGAATGGGAGCTAGAAGCGGGGACATTTGTTGACATCGGCCTTTCTCAATCTATGATCAATTCATCACCGGCATCACACCCTGCTCCACAAACCTATAAGTCGGATCGCTTCCTCAATGCCCCGGTTTCATGTTCTATTGTTGCGCCGAACAACCTGTCAGAATCGTACAAGACTGCACTTCTCATCCCATTGGTCGCTGGTATCATGCAGCTATGGGAGATTGCTCCGGCGCCAAAGAAGAGCTTCTTTGACCAAATGCAGGAAGCAGGGAATGAAGCATCAATTGGCGCAGCCGCGCTTTCCGGAGAGGAAAAGGCGGCAAGAGACGAGGCCAACAGAGCGCGAGAGAAAGCAAAGAGAAAAGACGCAAAATGGGCGCTTCCGACGGCGGTTGATGGAGCAAGCATCAAGCTTCCGAAGGCTGATGTAAGGGTAAGGATCCGTCGGAGGGAAGGCTTACCTACAAGTAAGATTGTCGGGCGCATTGGGTAGCGAACCATTCTGAGACTTGAGCGAAGCGGGCTGTTCGCCCGTTGCCGGACTAGGAGATACCTTGTATACAATTATGCGAATAGTACGAGTTTCAAGTGTAACAAGTGTCACCGCGTGTCAAAAAAAAACGCATGCATATCGATGATTTCTAGATAGCGAATGCTGACGGTCGGACCATGATCCAGAGGTACGCCATACACACGTCTAGGCACACAAGCATTAGAGCGTGTCAAGTTCCGTGATCACCATCGACGATGCCAATGCCTTTGAACTCGTAACCTCCAAAAAAAAAATCTCCACGACACGAATCAAGACGAGAAAATCAATAAACTATCTTTTGCTATCGAACCTTGTGCCAAGTCAGCGATCGAACCTGTAGCCGGCTGTGTATCTGCCACATCACAATAGTCCTGTAACCTAGACACTCGTACCCGTTTCCCCAAGTGCCCGAGGTGTGTCCACACGAGGAAAGCCACGATGCCCAAGCCTCGATCTCGATCCGCAACCCTATCTATCTCCCTGTAGAGTGTATCTGGCATCACGATGATTCCCCATTAAAAACAAGGGGGTAGTTACGAGCCATCTGGCTCCATCAATGTACATATACACATACGTACATTGTACATGAAATGCACATGTACATCTCGGCCGCTGACGTCGGCCGTACATCACCCAACCAAAGTAGCGGTGAAAACAAACAAGGGAAAGCGGGTGTAGGGCAGGGGTATGTGTGTGTGTGTGTGTGTGTGGAGGGGCTGGATGCATACCTTTCTACAATTGAAAAAAACCCACCTATTTGCCGATCGACACTAGAAGCAACCACGCATTCCACCATCAACCATGACCTCCACATTACTCCATTACCGGACGTCGGCTGTGCAAAAGGAAGGAAAACGCCCAAAACAAGCAACACCCCTGCACAAGAACGACCAAGTACACTACACACTGAACCATGTCCAAGCATCTCCCCATCTCTCTCTCTCTCTCTCCGCAACTAAGACATGCGCGACGCATCTGCAAATGATATGTCGAGCCACCCACCCACCCCTACCCTCCGTTCCCGTTTCCCCGCGAACAAACCCTCCTCAAGCATAAAAAACGTACATGGAGCAGGGGGGGGCCAGCGATGTGTGTATGTAACGCAAGAGAGAGCCAGACCCAGAGCAAAA